ACTGTACTGAGTCTTGTACAATAGACAGTTTATCCAGATGACCAAATACTCTCTTTTTATCATTAGCATCAGTTGAGTTAATTAGTATCCCAGTAGAGGTGTTAGTCTTTGCAGCTCTGTATTCCCCTGGAACCTTACTGGGATTATTGTCTCTTTTTTGCCACTTTCCATTCACCTTCTTCAAGGGGTGTTTCAAGCCCGAGGTTGCAGAGCTCTGTCAGAAGAATTTGAAGGAAGCATTGCAGGCAGTGCCCTGAGATTGCTAATGAACACTTGTTTATCTGTGCCTCATCTGAGGTCCTCGTTGCTGAAGTCTATTGCCAAGGGTATGACGGCAGACCCTGCAGCAAGGCAATTGGAAATGAATGTAGGAGTCTGCTCTGACAAAGACAGTGGACACTTGGCCTCCATCACTTGCAGGATAGTGAGTCCACCTTGTGTGCTGGACTTTTTATGCTTTAGAAAGATGAAACTCGATTTACCTGGAGATCTAAGATCAATCTCAAAGTTCTGTCTCCCAGCGTCAAAACCATTCTCATTTTTTAGCTGAAATGCGCTGAGCTTCAGTTGCCCCTGAAAATGTGTTATTTGTTTGTATGAGCATTTAGATGGTGACTTTTACTGCTGAACAAACCTTGCATCTGAGTATAACACTGATTAGTCCCTTTTTAAAGTGGTCTGCATAACAATTAGGATGATTAACTAGATGCAAATTTCTGCCTTTATCAGTAGTCTGCGCTGAGTTTGATGCTGAACACTGATCTCAGATGAATGAAGTCAGATGCAGTTTACTCTAGGAATTCATGAATGTAAACTGCTAACTTGAGTAGTAGTGCATTGAAAGTAATAATATGTGACAGAGGAAGGTTTCCTAGAAAATAAAATATGCAAATTTTTGCTTCTGATCTCAATACCATATAGCCAGCATTTGTAATTCTGGTTTGTTTTGTTCTGAATAATGCTACGGCCATAAAGTACTTTAAGCAAACTCCTGGAAGACTTACATTTGACAGTTTAATCTGTTGGACTTCACAATTTAACCTCCGCTAAAATCTCTGTGGTGTCCTCTCAAAATAGAGTTGTAACTCAATGATTTATTACTGTTTGGCTGTCCTTATTTTCTGTAGAAAACAGGAACCTTTCACTCTTTCCTTTGTCTTCCTTGCTGGATTATGTTGCACCCCAGTTAATGTATTCTGTCAGACAAACATCAATTCTGCCTGCCTTTGAGAAAACCCTCCTGGAACCACTAGTCATGCTTTGCTGTGATATGCTTTTAAGCAGTTTTGTAGTGCGTTTAGCTGTTTTGTTGGAGGTTATTTTTTGTTTCCCTTTAGTGCAAACGGTTTAATTTTCAATTGCACCAAAAGGAACATTTCTAAACTACCTCTGCAGATTCCAAGTGTAGATTATGTGTTTAAAAATACCCTTTGGGTTTAATATTGGTACTAAAATATGCTTCATGCAGTACTCTCTTGGTCACAACTGATTTTTTTCTTATGTCTACTAGCTGATTATGGAGGGAGTTTTCCCAATGTAACTATTGTGTGTGAAGGACAGATTCCAAAGGGAAGGAAACTGGCAGGCACTAAATGTTCCCTACCTTTATGAATTAACTTGTTTGAACAGAAAAAACTACCATAAGCTTTACATATTTTGTTGTTATCTGTTGTACAAACATGTCTTTCCTTTGCAGTGTTCTCCGGGTAGAAGCCCTCCAAACAGTTATTAAATGGCAATAATTTGGTGTGACTAATATTGGCACAAATTAGTTAAACCTTTATTGGAAACCTTGTAACTGAGTTGGAGGAAGATGCTGCAGGGTGCTTACTGGCCAGATGCTGAATTCAGAAAATGAGGAGATTGACATTAAGCCATCCTATGTATTTAATATAGAATTTCATTATAAGGAACTGGAAGCAGTAGTTTGGGTAAATATGACAATGAATTCATTGCTCTGGTGTTTACACTTGCCTTGTTAATTCTATTTGCAAAGAGGATTATTGTTAGGAAGAGGTATTTCTTAGCAACGTATTGAATTGTGTAGCTATGGAGGAAGCTGCGAAGAGAACCAGCATGACAGATGAAAGGGAACTGCAAGGAAGAGGAATAAGGAGGAGGATTGCCCTCCCATGGAGAGCTTGGCACTTGTCAGATTAAATTAGGATTTAAATGCAGCATAATGGAAAGATAGTTTAATTAAGTTGTTTAAATGAGTTGAAGATAAGTACATATAGGGCACAATCTATGAACTTAAAGAAGGATTCATCTGGAAGTAAATACAGTAGGGAACCTGGGTATTTGGGATACATATGGTCTTAAGGAAACCTCCAGCACTACATGATGACCTTGTTTTGTCAGCATCTTGCATGCCTCCTATATGAGCAGGAGATGCAGGATGTCCATGTTTGCTTTTTTTCCCTTGATACCAATCTGGGTATAAAACCTCTGGACGATTGTTAGGTCCACCAGGCCAGACACCCAGAGAGAGTGGCAGGCTTGGGGTGTCCTGGCAGTTTTGTCATGGGAAACTTGTGTTTTCCTGTGGAATGGCTGGCCCTGGGTGTGTGCTAAGTCAATGTAGTGATGCTGGTCAGCAGAAAGGGGAACAAGGTAAAAAGTATTAGGACAGAGTTAAGTTTTGGTAACTCCCTTTGCTAGAGTGATGTAAGGTATTTCAAAGCAATGAAAGTAATCTATGCAAAAGTTTCCTGCTGTTTTTTCTTCCCTCTTGAATGCTTAAGTGGTCATTTTTCCTTCATAAAGCCATTTTTTTCTCTGATGCTGGAAAATATAGGAAATGGAGAGCAGGCAGAGTTTGTGTTGCCATACCAGGAAAGTTTGAGGGGAGATGGCCTGCCACGAGGATAGAGAGGGGCTAGTGTTGCAGTGATGGAGTGGGTACCTGATTTCTGGGGAGGAAGAGGGGCGGCGTGGAGCTGATGTGGCTTGGGAAGTGAAATGCAGTGCTCGTAGAGGAACCATACAGTACCACTGGTCCTTCCTGCCTTCTCGCTGCAGCTGTGCCGTCTCCTCTGCCGTACAGTGGAGACCTGCATGCACCGGTGTGCACCATCTGTAATGGACCCGGATTGCTTTGCCCTTGTTGCTGAAGGAGAGTGCTGCAGTCCAGGAGAGGGGTGTTTGCCCCAGGTGTGGAGGAAGTGGAGCAGGAAGCTGGCCTGCCCTTGGACAGGTCTGCTGGCCATGGAGGGCCAGGGAAGGATGAAGCAGCACAAGCATTGCCTGTCCACTCCTTCCCATCGCTGCAATGGGAGCGGGGTGTATCCGGGGAACTGGAGACTTTGAAGCCTATTAAAGATGTTGATAGATTAAAAGCCCATCTTGATGATACATAATTCCATGAGATAGCTGTGTGTATGGTGGGTGTGTGCTTGTGTAAAATGCTAATACCCCACCCTGATTTTGTGTTATCTTGGCTGACAGTATGGTATCATATGCTCCATTAGTTACTGTTAAATTCTTACTATGTTTTGGGACTTCTAGAAGAAATTGAAATGTTAAAAAAAAATTTACCTTTTAAGAAATTAAATTTTACTCTGATATTATCTTCTCCCAAAAGTACAGATGTAAAAGTCAGCTTAAAAATACAACAGAAATGGAACATATACTGATAGGTAAAAGGAAAGGGGAAGGTTATAAAGGTAATTTCACTTGAATCTGAAAGATAGCGAGAATTGCCTGCTTGGGAAATAACTCATATTTTTAGAGTCCTGTGGGAACCTGCTTGCCTTTTTTTTTTTTTCTTCTTTCCTCCCTCCTTTGTCTTTTTCCCATCACAGTTTAAGAAAACAGTCAAACAACATGAGAACCATCAGTGAAGGGAGTCGTTTAAGTAACACAGCTGTATAAGAAAAGATGCATGTACTCAGACAAACAGGATTTTTTTGGGTTTTTTTTGAGAAGTTCTACATTTGTTATCTTGAAAAAGTTCTCAAATTTAGGAAAAATGTTTGATGACACTTGCATATTTGAACAGAGAAGCATTAAAAAAGAAACATGTTTCTAATTATTTGATGTTTGCTTCTTGGAAATGTTTGAAATCAGACTTATTGTTAGATAACTGTGTAGGCTGGTAAGATGACTACTCAAGGATATTGAAATAACACAAAGCAGTGTTGCTTTAAATGTGCTATTATTTAAGAGTGTGCAAGAGCTGCTAGCAAACCATGCTTCACTATATGAGTGTGTTTTAACCTTATTTTTATAATCTTTGCATGCTGTTACATTAGCATTGGCCTGTATAAACTTTTTCCATAAAATATCCTGTATATTTCCCTTTGCAAGTATGGATTTAAACGTGGGTAAACACAATGGTCTTATATATGTCAAAGTGTAGGAAGCTCTCTGGTAGAGGCATATGAGTGTTTAGGGACCAGTAATTCTTTTTTGAAAACCATTATAGATATGTCCTTATGTGATAAAGATGGTGCTGTTTGCCAGGGAAATTGCTTAAGGGTTCCCTGGGAAATTTGTCTTTGTAGCCTAACAGCATGTCAATACTTTGATGCCCTTGTACTGAGGTGTAACTCTAAAGGCAGACCACAGAAAATTCAGATATTCTCAGTGATAGGTCTGTGTGGGGAAGGGGGATCAAGAGAGGTGATTGGGAGGCTCTGAGGGATGTCAATGAGGCTTAATGCCAAGGATGTCCTGAAGTGATGGGACCCTCAGAACACTGTTAAAGGTTTTTACCTCAGGTGGGAGTCATGTTTCTGTTGTTCCCTATCTTGCTTTGGGCTAGAAATCAGCCAGCACTACTGCATGCTGGTTCTGAAATACAGTCTCCACTCTCTGGTTTTGGACAGCCAGTATGTAGCAACAGATACAGTGATGTGATGTGGTTTTACTTACTCATTTTTAGGCAGAAAAAAGGGGAGTCCCTCAGTGCCTGCCTGGTCCTACCAGCAAGTCAGGAGGTGATGCTCATTCTTCTCCCTGCTTTCCAACTTGTGTGCACGTGTTGCAGTGATGAGAACAGCTGACAGGCAGGATATGGTGAGGTGCATCCCTAAATTTGTGACAGACCTTGCTGGTAAGAATTGTATGAAAGTGTCTCTCTGGTAGCAGTGGCTACCCTTGTAGCCCCAGAAACACAGCAGATGAGAGCTGCCTCTGTCCTTGCTTTGCAGTAATCCAGAGGCTTTACTGAGCAGTCTACCCTGCCAGTCTCTGGAGAGAAACAGGAGTTGGCGGCTGGCTGCCTGCCATCCTGCAGCACAGTGCCTTGGTCTGCTGCTGCTAAGCCAGCAGGTAGGAGTGCTAGCTGGATGGAAAACATTTTGTGGGATTTATCCAAAATAAATATCTAATTTTGCATGGGTGAGGCTGAAATTCTTCAGCTGCGCCTCTTTCCACAGCAGAAGAGAAACCTGCCTTCCTCGCAATGCTTTCTCAAGTTCTTGTGCATATGCAAGGTAAAACGATTGTTTTCCTAAATTTAAAGCTTGGATCCTCCTTCTTTGAGTTCTGATGGATGTCTAGATTTATACTGCTTTGGCGACCTGTTTGAAGACGTATAATCCATACTTCTCTGAACCTTCCCCAAAAGGTTCACATTGAGGCATTTAGCTGGTTTCTTTGCTTTTTCTTTGTGCTTCTACATAATCCTTGAAGTGTAAATATAGAGCTGGAAAAAATAGCACTTGATCTGGTTGACAGTATCCCAGCTTGCAGTGGGACTTAAATTAAGAAATTTGCGCTTCTGCTATAAATCAGAAGTTTGAGCTTGTAACCCCTTAATTTTTGGCCCAATAAATCCTATTACTCCCAGGAAGCTGTTAAGGTTCATCTCTGTAAGTCCCGAGGATGTTTTAAATCTGTGGGTTAAGTAACACATATGCAAGAGTTTAAAATAAGACTGCTAGCCCACACAACATTCCAGCTGTAAACCCAAAACTGGACATTGTGGGGCTGATTCAGGAGATGCTGATCCAACTGCAAACCTAACTAGTGTTAGGCTTTAGCTTCTGCTGCCTTTACTATTTTTGCTGTGGTATAGGGATGGAAAATTCACAGGTTGTTGATGTTTGAACTGGTGTCATTAGTTCTCCCAAAGTAACGGGGTGGATACTTTTTGCACAGTGGCCTCAGGCTCTCATAGGGCATTCTTGCCTGGCACATGGTATTAGTACATCCTGAGTTTGCCCTGCTGCTGAGTGCCAATACTTGAGAACTTCCTCAAGCAACCAGTGCTCAAGCATGGAACTGGGCTTTCTGCATTCTGGGGTTGCACTTTGAGCTGAGATTGCAAGCAAATGTTTTTGGCATGGGTAAATGCAATGTGCTGTTATGGCAGGATGTGAATCCTCCTTGCAGAAGGTGATCTTGAAAGGAGGTCTTCAATCCTGTAGCATGTCCATCATGGTAGAGAATTAAGCTGAATTTGCATAGATTTTTAAAACTAACAGAGGAGATGTTCTAAGGAGAGTGATGTGTATACTCTGCAATTCCATAATAAAGATATTGATGCTCCTAAGGGCTGGCTCAGGAAAGGCACCTGCCAGAGGGTTCAGATGGAGGCAGGAACTAGTACATAAATATATGAAGAGGAATTTTAATTACTCAGAGGAGCTAGATGATGAAATCAGCTACAAAATGCAGCAGTAAAATAAGCCTAAATCACTTGCATGGAGTTAGGCACTAACCTCCATATAAAACTCCTCAATGGAGCAGTGGGGAGCCATAGTCTGAACTAAGTACAATATAAACCCATTTAAAAGTGTTTTCTAGGTTTCTTTCTTTCCTTCCCTTGTCTGTTTTAAGCACAGGCAAGGGTTTTGCCTGAAAGATTCTAAATACTCAAATTGGAGAATAAATGTGTTTTGTTTTGTTTTGCAGAAACTGAAGTTTGTGTCTAGGAATTTTATACATAAGCTACGTTCTTTGCATTTTCTTGGCTATTCCTAATGCAATAGTGTCTATAGCTTTTATTATCTCTAATTCAGAAGCTGATTCAAATGCTTTCATGGCATAACAGAGAGTTTAAAAAGGCCATGAGAGACCCTGTGCAAAGCTTGTCAAGTGGCCACAGGTGGTTGGTAAAAATGAATTATTAAAAACTAGTGTTTTCCAAGGGTTTGTAAGTTGAATGTGACAAGCTCATTGATAAACCCTGTTTCTGCCTCTCTCAAAAGCTGTGGGTGAAAGAAACTTTTCTTTGAAACAGCAATGTACACATGAATGGTTGGCTCTTGTGGAGGCTAATATTTTCTTACCTCAGATTGTATCTGCACACCATATGGAAAATAGTGAAATTATTTCTTACTTTTGAAATGGATGTTTTCATAGCTGTTAGCCATAACTAGAAAGCAACACAATATTTTAAACTTAAAAAAGTGCTTCAACTTGAAGCAAAACAGTTCCATTAAAGGATTTTCAATTGCAGAGAACCTCACAATTTGACAAGGTGAGAATAATGCAGCTGGAGCAGACTGGTTTTACTAAGTGTCTGAAAGAGGCAAAGCACCATAGTAAAATAACAGTGTGGGGTTTATACTGGTTTAAATACCTGCTCTGTTGGGAGCAGGTATTTAAAAAAAAAAAAAGGCAGGTCTATTGGGAAGTCTAACTCTAGTGCTGTTATCTTAAGAGGCACCAGAGATGGCTTCAGAAATTGAGCTCACTGTAGAATGGCAGCTCATTGTCAGAATCAAGATCAGAAAATTTGCTTATTGCTTCTGAAGTGGAGTAGTCTTAGGAGGCTTTTACATGCTCATTTCCTTCCTTTGCTCATTGCTTTTCCATGGTATAAGAATTTCTGTGTTTAAAAACACCTTTTTTGTAAAACCTTTATCTTCAAAAATAAAAGCAAAGTATTTATAATGTTAGAATGAGGTTGGCAGCTTTTAATTAGATGCTTTAAGTACAAAGTTAAGAAATGGCATACCAACAGGAATTTTTAGATCTTCTGGTTTTCCTGGTGTCACATGGATTTCTCCATGTTAATATAACTTGATAATTGCTCCCTTGACCCAGTTACTCTTTTTATGCTTTCCTTTCCACATCGAGTCAGACAAGCACAAACATTTCATGTATATTAGAAATGAGAACTTTTGTCTTCAGAAATGAATCACGGGACACTGTGGAAGGGGAGAAGGGAGAACAGCAAGTCTTGTCTCTTTTCTTGCATTATGAATGAAATTGTGTAGGTAGATGCTGTGTTTAGGGCCTGTCACACTGGTGGGGTTTTCACTGTCCTCATGCTATCCCTGAAGAAAGCTTCATTGCTTCCACAGTGTATTGTAGCAGGTTAGGTTGCTTGGAGAGGTGGGATCTACAATAATAAAAACTTATGGGGACCAAGCAATATGTAGAACTGGAGAAATACAGAAATGGGTTTAGGAATACAGCTAAGTGAGAGCTGCCCAGATGTCTGCCTCGTGTCCACTGCTCTCTCTTCTCTTGAGGTACCTCATACTATCACAGGGCAGCTGATGAATGATTTTAGGCTGATTCCTCTACCTCCCAGATGAAGTCATGCCACTTGCTGGTGAGGAGGTGTCCTCCCTCAGGTGAGAACAAGGCTGGCTTTATTTCTGAGGAAGCCTTGCATGACATGTACAAAAAAGAGGCAACATGACAGGGAATGTCTCCCCAAAATACTGATTGTGATACATGAGTTTCTTAAACTGTATTAATTTTTTGAACTGCAAACTTCAGATGCAAGTTGCATGTTAGCAATGATTGTGTTGCCAGAGGAGGCCTGTTGATGCCACCACTCAGACAAGCGGCATGTTTTGAACTTTACTCTTGTGAGATGATAATCAACTGTTGGCCCATATTCTAAGGGCAGAAAAAGGTATTACAAGAAAGAAAAGAATGTTTTTTAAAAGGAAGAATAATTACCATTTTAATTTTCTGAGTAGGGCCACCGGTGATACAAAAGCCACTAGTTAATTCTTTTTTAAATTTTTTTTGTAGGATAAAAATAAGAGCTAGGAGTAATGATGGTATGCCAGACACTTCCTGGTTGCTTTTATCACAGGTGATCTGTTTGCCTGAATGGTCATTGGTAATCGTAATCATTTAGGTCCTTCTGTCTTTCTCTAGAGGAAACAAATCTTACTTTTAATCTCCATCTTGGTTTTGTGTAAATCATGAATTGCTTTTCTGTTTTGTTAGGCTGCAGCCAGCCATCAGATGTGGGACCATATTATTATTAGTAGGGAACTCTGATGTTTTAGTTATGTGTGTGCTGCTGAGTGCTGTGTGTGCTGCTGAGTGCTACGAAAGGGATGTTACACACTGCCTGTGCATCCAGGAAGGTGTAGTGAGAATAGTACTTGGGATTTTTTTCTATGAATATTTGAGTGACTGCTGTTAAGACTGGCATGTATATATAATTCTTCAGCATACAGAGCATTAATTGCTGCTCCAATTAATTTTGGAATATGTAACCAGTAGAACTTTACTCTGACAAATTCATTCTCATGCTCTCAGATATTAAAATTGGTTGAAATTTGGTGGCTTAATTTCATGTCAGCGACCCCTTTGTTCAAACATATACTTGTTATCTTGGTACAGCAGTGTAGGATTGCTGAGGAAGAGCGCTGTGTGCCGCCAGCTGAGCTGGAAGGTCTCATGTGTCCCTTCTCCAGCATGGAGTGACTTAACACCTCCTCTCAAGACCTGTGGCACAATTGTGCTTGCCTGCAATTAGTTGCTTGACTAATTCCCAGTGTTGGTGGGTACTGGTGGTTACAGAGATAGTAATGGCATTGCTCTATATTAGGTACTGTATGAAGAACAGAAATTAATAGGTATATTTTGTTAAGGAAAATGTGGGTTTTCTTGAGGTGATTTTTCCTACTGAGAGGAAAACACAAACTTTGAATTTCTCTTTCTCAGCAGACTCCTACTTCTTGGAGTAAGTGAAACAGAAGCTTGGGTTGGAAGGAACCTTAAAGATCATCTTGTTCCAATTCCCTGTCATGGACGGGGACACCTTTCACTAGACCAGGTTGCTCAGAGCCCCATCCAATCTGGCCTTGAACACTTCCAGGGAAGGGGCATCCACAGCTTCTCTGGGTAACC